TTCTTTTATTTTAAATATTTAATTTATAAACAAAAAAAAATGGTTTGACTTCCCTTTTAATCTTATAATTTCATAGATTTTATCTTTTAATCTTTATAATCATCGAAAACATTAAAAATTGTAATCCCTATATTAGTTCCTATATCAATAAACACACTCATAATAAGAACTATAAAGAAAAAAAAATGACGTATATATATATATATATATATATGAATTAAAATGAAACATTTTTAATTATAGGAATTAAAAGGTAAAATTTATAAAATTATTGGAGTCAAAAGAATAACTAAACCTAAAAAATAATTTGTAAGAGTTGTTATATAAAAATATAACTTTGTGTTTATATAAGTATATATTTCTTGTATTATTTTACGTTTATTTACTAATTTAAGAAATAATTATATGAAACAGTTATAATTCAATTAATTTGAATTAAAAATAAACTCTTGAAGTTTCAATTAATTTATGATAAACATAGACGTTGAACGAATATATTGTTTTTTTTCTTTTTCTTTATGGAAAGTTCGTGAACGTCAGAATAAACGAATGAGAATAGAGTCAAATAGATGGGAGTTGGGATAGTGTTGTGGAGCAAGTTGTGAGATTTGGTTAGGGCATTTCGATTATTTAACTTTGGTAGGATGAAACGATGGGCCCAAGATTCGGAAAGCAAGCAAAAGTTAAAAACATATGAGCCAAGAAGGCAGCATCAGCAACATGTAAAACACGCAGAAAGAATAAGCTCCCATATGCCAATAACAGATTCCATTTAATTTATTGCACAACAAATATTAAATTTATTATATAATAAAATAAATATATAATTATAATAATAATAATAATAATTCTTTCGATAAATTTGTTACACAAAAAATCTCAAATTACATATAGTAAAATAAATTAAATGTATACCATATTTGTTATACAACAAATAACATATTACACATATAATAAATATCGTGTGACTCGTTTAAATTTAACATCTATATTATTAATTTATTAATTATTAATAAAGGAAATTACCTTATTTAGTGTACATACATGTTTTGGACAATTTTGTTTCTATAACCACCTCTCAAACTTTTCTTTATTTTTTCACTATTTTTTAAAAACTACCCTTACAACTACACCTATATATATAAAAGCTTATTATTAACCACTCACATTTATTTTTAGTTTTTAAAAAGACACATAGGCTTAAAGTGCCTTTTATGGGCTTTTTACCCAAAATTAGGGTCATTATGTAAAAATATTACATAAAGGAGACTATTTCAAAATATCTTACTACTTTGGTGTGATCAACAAATATGTTGTTGGTTTACACAACGTCATCCCGTACTATGTTATTTTCTTAAAAATGACTCCAAAGTAGAGTTGAAGTCACATGTGTCAATGGTGATCTTGCACACAACTCCAGTGACACTTATGGTAAATAATTAAAAACAAGTGTCATTTCTCTTAAATGGGGATATTTTTTTCAAAAACAAATAACTAATGTTGCTAGCTTTGGTAATTTTTTTTTTCTTATAGTGTTGCTACTCTAAGTGGGAGATCAAATTCTTAATGTTTATATATGGTGCCGCTTTCTCTCAATGGGAGACTAGCTTTTGAATTATCTTTTCTTGTAGTGTTGCCACCCTTTATTGGGGGGATCAATTTTTTCTAATACAAGGTGCAACTATCCCGAATGGAGGACTAACTTCTTTTATGTTCTTCTAGTGCCACTACCCATAAGTGGGAGAACATTTTTTTTAGATGGTGCAGTTATCCCCCCGATAGGAAACTAGCTTTTGTATTTTTTTTTTTTTTTAATGTCACTACCTCCAAGCATAGTTTTAAAAATCGGATCGGTCATCGAACCGGTTAAGGTACTGGGTCAGTGGGTTAAAGGTTGAACTGGTGGGTCACTAGTTGAACCGCATGACTCGGTTTTTATTTATTTTTATTAAAAAAAATATTCATATTAAATATATTTTATACTTATAAATTTTAATAAATTTATATCTTATTTTAAATTTCAATTTTTCTATCTTATTTAAAATTATTTTTATTTTTATTTTGTAAAAAAATACATAAAAAAATTACATGTTAAACGGTATATTAATACAAATTAAAAATATAAATAATATGTACATATATAATATGCTTGCAATTGATATCACAAAATAATATATGTAATAT